CGCGCATTCTGTGGCTGCATTCCCCGATATTCACTGTCAGCAACTTTCAGTACTGAAAATCTATAAGTATACGTGACGTAAAATATAGTAGATGTTTATTACTGACGGTGAATATCGGAATGCAGCCTGTAAGGCCGGAGATCGGGAACCGGTAGAAATTCGATGAGCGCGAATCCGGCGCCTCGCCGGACACGAGAGAATGGGATATCTATAATACGTTCCGTTCGTGTGACGTGATCGCGCCATGATTGATATGCCAGAGGTATGCGCTGCTCGCGCGTCTACGTTTCGCGGCGAAAGTTCAACTCGTTGAAATTATAGCTTGTCTCGATTGCTTCCCGGTTACGACTATATTTGGAATGAAACGGAGATACGATCACTCGCTCGCGGATATCCCGCGAAAACATGATCGTGCCGGTAACGGTTGTCACCTTTCCGGTTTTTAAAGAAGACTCGTCGAGGCTTCGGCGGAAGAAAAAATATCTCCGATAGGTCGCTTTAAATTTCGATACCTTTTCTTTTTTAAAGAGAATATAGAAGAGAATATAGAACTGTGGAAGGGGTAATTTTGATAGTAAGATTCAGAATGTAACAAGATATTAAAATATTGCGTTAATTAATGCGCAAACTGGATAATTTTATTTTATTTTATTTTTTGAAAACTGTAAAAAAATAGTGTAAAGCTGGTAAACATAGTTGTAACATTTAAAGGAGCATTCGCATATATCGCGTGACGCGCGTAATAATACGGAACGTGTTTATACATACGAGTATTTCTTATGCGTCACCGCGAGCCACTTTGTTCTCCGGTAAACGTAAACAGGACTTCTTCCGCGTGAAACATCGAGAGGTCTTTGCCTTCGAGGACTTGATTCATAAATGTCGACGAGACGCTCCGAGCATTAAAGCTGCGCGACTTGATTTATAAGTACAGTATAATATCAGCAATGACAGAAATAGTTGAATTAGCGCGATAAAAGTACACTATACTGAATCACTTAAATCGGTAACAATGTAAATAAGTTCGCAATCGAACGGACGACAGAAATTTCATGTTTTCTCAGTCAGTGATGAGTTTATAAAATTGTATCGCAAAGGAATCACGTTGTTTTTCATTTACAATGAGCGACATTAGCGAGCAAGCAGTAAATTCGTGCTGGACCCAACAGCCGAGACATAGTAACGCGTTCTCTCTCTATCTTCTCTCGCCATATAAAGCGGTGGCGATAGGGTCGCGGGGGCATTATATACGTCCGGCTGGAACGACGTATATATTCGCCCGTAATTGGAGCGCGTCGCTCGGCGAATCGGCCGCGAAATAAAACGAACCGTATAAAGACCGTACTTTGGTCAGTTTTTGCGCGAGGTTTTTAGCCGTCGTACCTCCGGTGGTCTCGTTAGACCGGACGATGGGAGGTCCGGAAGAGATCCGCCGCGGCCGCGGCTGCAATACGCGTCCGCATTTGCTCCACGTACTATAAAGCGTCGCGGAATCCTTGGATCGATCCTCCGTCGCGAGACCATGTATAAAAGTATTGGAAAACGAATAATTTACATTAAACGAGCTTTATTTAGATCGGATATTGGTAATTTCTTCATATGTGGCGTTATATAAAGTTTGTCAGAATTTTATTAGAATTTTTACTGTAATTTCATACATTCGTACACGGTTTTGCTGAAGTATCTAAAAATTTAGTTAGATACAGATCTGAAAATAATTTTGTTGCACCATCAAAATAATGATTACAGTAGGTCGCTGAAGTATGATGGTAATAATGTAAAACTTTTGACATTTTAGCGATCAGTTTGAGTGTTCTACAAATTCTACATAATCTACGTAATTATTTTTAGATACTTCAGCAAAACCGTTATTTCCATTCTTATGTAACAGTACGAATTATAAACTGCTGTCTTTTAAAATTCCAATGTGATTCGCAGTTTTACATGAAATATACATATTTACATTTCGAGCACATTTTATATTTCAATGCGCGATACGTATCTATATACGAGACATCACTGACAATGAGTGGACATCCAGAAATAGTTAATTATGTCGAACGAGAAGCGTCGAGGGCAGATGGGACACAGCTGAAGAAGCAAATAATATCAGGAACGTAAAGCATTTCGTAGGGTAAAAGTTATAGCTCCTTAATGAATCGAAGGGGTTTAAAAACGGAGTCTTTCGCTCGTTGATGAAGGAAGCGAGCGCGGAAGTTATCGGACCGCACGATCTGGCCTACCGTTTACCCTAAGCCGGGGTATTAGAAGTTGTCACAGGTGCTCGCCCGTATATAGGTACCACGCTCCACGTACGCACGCACGCACGCACGTATGCACGCACGCACGCTAAGAAAACGGGCGAAGATTCTCTCAAGGGGAGCCCGCGTGTATATTTGGCTTTCCCACAGTTTAGCGCGCGACTTTAACTATCCCGCCTCGCGCCGGCGTTTGCCGACGGACAGACGGAAGCCATTCGCGAACTTCAAAGATTCGCGATCGGGGTGCGCGCCTCGAGTGGTATAGGCAATGCATATTATCACGGTGCCTACCTAGCCGGGGCCCCCGACATGTCCTCGTCGGCGGCCCGGCGCGGCGTCCTCGGCAGCGCGTGCACACAAAGTCGAGGACTCGGCCAACACTCCAACGGCAGCGCGTTTATCGTCGAAGACCGGCGGTCCGAACAAAGTGCACCTCGCCGAGTGCACGGCTAATGGCAATCTTGTTTTATGCCTGGCGGCTCGGCGCGCGACAAAAATCGTTTGCACGTGAGCCAGATTACTTATTACCCGGAGACGTGTGTCAACCTTGGGAACCGGCGGCGTTCGAGACACCCGATTTCCACGTCGCTGTAGGAAACTTTGAGATAATTTTGCAATAAAAGCAACCGTGTAACAATTTTCGACCTCGCGCATTTCGCTACACACACAATCGATCGTTTTTAAAAAATCTCTTCGCGTACGCGCAAAAACTCCGGTCGTTAGAATTAATTTTCAACACGATTTTACGATGACGTTTATTGACTGACGTTTATTGAAGGCAAATTTCACAACGATGCGACCGTGCATTTTCTGGTAGCGTTTCGTTCGGTGGTAATCCCGCGATATATCCAATAATTGCCGCGCAGCGGTCGTTTAAGATTCGCCGAGTAAAGTATCGATACGAGAGCGTTCAAACCGGATTGCTAAATTACAAACGTTTATATACGACTTCATCAATCATCGGTCCCGACGCGCGGGCAAGCCGCGCGTTGCATGAAACTCTGCGCCACGCGATGATAACGACTGACAAGTGTCGAGTAACGTTTTAAGCGTGCGTCAATCAGCGTTGGAGCAACGGGGGAATTAAAATGCGAGTGAGAAGTGAAAAAAAAAAAGTGAAAAGAGTAGCCGAACAATCGTCGGGGTAAATCGATGGAAGGGCTCAAACGTGCAAGGGAGGGATCCGGAGTACCGTCGAACGAATCGTGTCGCTGTCAGTAACGACGCATTAACGCGTTCATATCGCATTCCAACCCTTCGCGCGTTCGATTACATCGCACTCACATCCTGTACGTATATTCGCGTTCGTCCTCCCCCGTAAATGCAACTCAATACACTTTTTCTCCGCTGCTCGCGTCGCCGAGACACCCGTGTAAATTCATGTTCATGTAATGTAAAGCATTCGCGATCGGAGCAGATACGAGGGGGCAACGTACTCATTATATATTTTGTGGAAGGATACTTTTTTTTTTACATTGGTGCGATATTTCCTTCTTATCGCACACGCGATGCCTTCGCCGCAAATTGCTTCAATCATTATTATATGAGCGTTACAGACTGACGAGACGAAAAGTTTCCTCCGCAATGTCTGTATTTGTGTGAAATAAATAAATCGCGTATATTCTTACATTACGAGGGGCGCTATCAAAGAAGATAGCTTCGCTGCGTTTCCAATATTCTCCTCAATCCTCGGCACTTCAGCATCTCTCGTCCGCAATTCCCGCGGTCAGTTCGGCGAGCACGGTGGGACGGGGGGGCTCGGAGGAGGGAACGCGGGGTTAAGCGGGTCGGCATATAAGTGAAATCGCAATAATTACCGGCGGCACGGATCACAAATCCCGCAGTACGGTAGTTGGTAGGCGGGATGGTCTACCAACAGACGCATACAGGTATTATACGCAAGCTCTTTGTCGGGGGGGCCTCGGAGGAGGGGTACGGTTTATATTGGCGCCACCTCCTGCACGGTTAAGCGAGCGACTAGGGCAGACTTACGCCTTACACCTCTCTCTCTTCGCCTCTCTCTCTCTCTCTCTCTCTCTCTCTCTCTCTCTCTTTCTCTGTCTCTCTCATTCTCTCTGCACCCCACCCGCCGTCGTTTTCACCCTCTCGTTCGCTCACTCTCTCTCTCTCTTTCTCTATCTCCCGCTCCCTCTATTCTCCTCTCCCCCCTCTCTCTCACCAGCGACGACCCTCTCTCGTCTCTCTTGCCGCGCGCGCTCTGATGCTGCACAACTCCCGCTCGCTGGCTAACCCAACCTAACCCGCGGGCGAACTTCATTCCACGCCGACTGACCACCACCGACGGCCGTCGTCGTGTCCTCGACGCCGCCGTCGTCGTCGCCGCCTCGTTTGTCGTTCGTCAGAGAACGCGGTCACGCGACACGTCGACTCCGTCGTCGGCGAATCGGTGTACTACGTAGTACATACGTACGTGGATCTTCTCTTCTTCTCTTTCTTCTTCCCGGCGGTGGTGCACCGGCCGCCCGGTGTGTCATGCCGATATCATTGTGACTGGGATACGTGACTGGATTTTTTTTTTTGAAAGTGACTGTGCCTAATAGTACCTTCCTCTCGATCGTACCTCGCGCGTACGCAGTTGTGTATCGGGGAAGTTAAGAAGACGTGTCGCGAAAGCCAGGGGGGACAGGAAGGTTCGGCTTACCCCGTTCTCCACGGGGGAGGATCCGTTCAGAAGGCGAAGGGAGGAAGGACCAACCATGGACATGTCCGAAGACTGTTGGGATCACGTGGGACTGCTCCAAGAGGTCTCCGCGGAACCACCCCCGCCACCGTCCACCTCCGACTTCTTAATCCAGCATCAAGAGGTAAGTCTCTTCTTCCATCTTTTGTAGTAAATTGCGCTTTAGTGCGCTCTGCAACGTGAAATTCGTTATTTAAGAGATGCGAATCGAATGAGTTTGCAAGAACAAAAAGCGCGGGAAAAGCGAAGCATATATGTGATAAATATACAAGATATGATATCATATATCACACAGAGATATATCTGCGAGATAACTATGTTATTGGCAAAATCCTGAAATAATTCTTCGATCATCGTTACGTGAGCGGAATCGGATTAGCGTTCATCTGCAAATCGACGGCGCTTTTTTGTTGCCGCGTGTAAGCAAACGTTCATCTTGACTTTTTATTTAACAATTATTTAACGATATATGATACGGTTAATTAATTCGTAATATGAGGAGCTTACGTTGAATTAAAGCGAAGAAACCAGGCTGACGGCGGTTGTTCCGTGCGCGAGTAGGGTACATATAATTATACCCTCTTTTACTTAAACCTCCGACAATTTCGGTATTTGTACGGCTGAGGTCTGTCATTTTACGTGCAAACTTGTTTTATTGGCGCGAACACCTTGAAGAACCTATTTATCCGGTACGGCCGGAGGGCTGCGCGCATTTGCGCCAGATAGCTCTTTTTAATAAAACCCGTCGGGGATTCCGGTGTGGAAATCATTATCATAATGATACGGCGAGGCGCGCTGATTTCATTCCGTGAAAACGATCGCGGCACGTACGTCACACACGAGGATCGAGGAACGTATATGTTCAATTACGCCGCTCTTGGCGATCGTCCCCATAGCTTCCGTAACTTCCTTAGTACGTCAATTATGATACATCATTATTATCAGGCGCAATTTTTTTTTTATTTTCTTCAATCTCTATCCTTCAATTTTCCGACGACCACTAGTGGCGATCGTATGGCTTAATAATTTAATGACACGAGCATGTTGCTATATAAACTCGTATTTCTTCTTTCAAAACTCGTTTTTATCTTTCAGGAGTAAAAGGTAATACATATAATTCAAGAACGGCGATTCGCGACTTACTATTAGTAGTTTACGAAAGATCTCTTTATCGTAATCACGCGCTTAGCATCTTTTTATTCGGTTCGAAAAACGCGAGAGATGTATTCTAAAATTTACGAACTGTATTTCGGACACCCCGTATATCGGGCCGCAATTAAGAGACCGAATTGAGGGTCTCACGAGGAGCCGAAGCGGTCGAACCGCGAGCTCCGACAACATTCCAGTAGGCTGCACCGAGGTAGAAAGCACCTGGATAGTCGTGGCGATTTTTCTGTTTGCTCAAGCCTACAGCAAATTAGTAATAATCACGCGGGGCCACCTGTCATCGGTCCGATTGGTCCGAAGCTGGGGGCGGGGATTTATATGTTATTATATATACGTTACCTGGTGTGTGTGCGAAAGGACGAGACGCAGGGAAAGAATCGTCCTCAAACGATCGACGAACCGAGGGGCGCCGGCTCGTTCCGTTTCAATTTCGTCGGGCCCCCTTGCATAACGAGCTCTTTCTCCGTCTCTCTCCCTCTCTCTTTTTCTCTCTCTCTTGGCGGGGCAGCATGAATCCACGGGGCGTTGGTTACGGTGCCCTGTAATCATACCCGAAATTATAGGCATTTAGTTGGGCATGAATGAGCGGATAGGAAAGTTTAAGAAGAAGATATCGGTGGCATCGGCGCGTCAGAGGCGCGTGCAGGGCCCCGGCCCGCTTCCTTTACGCCTCTCCCATATCCCCGTCCCTACCGTTCGTTCGTCGCCGGTTTCTAGAGGCACCTGCACCTCCGCTGCCCCGATCGGGGCTCAGATTCACCTCCGATACAGGTCGCCCTACCTGGCATCCTTCCTTCCGCCGCGCCGCGTCGTGTACATATGCACGCGTGAATCCCGAGACACGACGATCGACCATAATCCATCATGCACGATGACAATAAATGTCGTAATGTATATATCGCACATCACTATTCAGTAAAATCAAAGCTTCCCCAGAGGATCTTTTCATTTTAAAAAACGTAATCTCTTTAATTTTATTTGAAAGAGATGTCAAAGTATATTTTAATTAATGTTATTTAAAATAGAATTTTTATTGTTATTTTATTTTATAAGTTGACAAACGTTGACAATGTTCTATACATTTCCATAAGCTCTATTCTAAGCTAAATTATTCTTATCTAAGCTAAATTAAAAAAACGACTCCGAGTTATTCTATCACAATAGCACTAACGCGGCCAGCAAAGCTAACAATAAGAAACCAAAGATTATAGTTCAAACAAATATTATTGCGTAGAGAAAAATATAGACGATTCGTGAATAGAATGTCGGTGAAAAGCACAGATGCGTTGCGCTAATTTCATCGAGAGCTTTTTCCGTTTCTATGTCACGATGACACGATCGCGCCAATCTGCGACTGTGGCCGGTGCCTTGTTAAAACGAGACACGAAAACGCGATGGCGTCTTCGTACCGAAAAGGATTAAAGTAAGCGATCGGTCCAATTAAAATACGGCGGGGGACCATCCCTCGCGCCGTGTCCAACACGTGACAAATGCGCGCACGGCACGTCCCAGCTGCAGCGCTGAAAAATGTCGGCGCACCGAAATATAGGCTGCTAATCGAATCGCACCTGCGTCGCGAAAGCTTCAAGGCTTCTCGAAGCTGGTTTCGCGGGGTGGATGCTTCAGCATCGCTCGACTCACGTATAAGTTTTCCACGACGGGCGGGCGGGCGGAAGGGCGAGCCCAGCTTGGGGCCCGTGTGGGAATATCTGGTCTTATTACTCGCGCATAGGAAACTCAGGCGTTCGAGCGCCGATCGACCGTCGATTTTCGTATTCCTCTGACGTGTACGCTCGCTGCTACCTCTCTTCCTCTCTTCCTCTCTTCTCGCTTCTTCCTATTCTCCGTCTCGGGGCCTCATATGAGTCGTAGATCGGCGTAGCTTAAACCCGAGTCCCCGGTAGCGCCCGCGCACGCGACATTCCATCGTGTTCGATAGCTCGAGCACCCGTTCACACCGAAAATCGTGAATTCCGAGGTGAAGCGAACACGGAGCGGACTACCGACGACGCGAGCACGTACGGGTTCCGTGAGAGAACTCGGTCGGTTCGATGGCGATAACGGCGTCGCGCGTCCCGCTTCCGAATTGCCCCGTTCTGCCGGGCATTCTATGGTAGCGAGGAAAAACGTCGACCGGGATGAAGGAATCAAAGCGATGGAGCATGTGGCTTGCTCGGCACGTTCGTGTCGGACGAGCGAAGCGTCGATACGAGGCGCGGTAGAACGCAGCCATGAACGATTTGCGAAGCATCGTATCCGAGGGGCTTTGAAGGAATTTCAATTCGTGGCGGAGAGTTAGACGGCATAAGTCTTCCTCCCGTTCTTCCTCTCCCTCGTGTAATTGATGTAAGTCGCGTGTTACGACTAAATTCCAACGTCTGAATGCGCTCGGTGCATGGCGACGATTGTTCGGACACCTTTTTTATGTTCCTGACTACTCGTGTAATCACTCGGAGACTGCCAATCACGATCGTGGGAAATAATATTTGACGACTGATATGCGGCGCTAAAAACTATTTGCATATAATGACGAGATAATTACAGCGTTACGCTACTTGTTTTCTTAGGGCTGTTAATTTCGTATTAATGAATATTACTCGCGTGCTCGTTAATTATATTCTATTATATTCCGAACGCACGCTATGTATATAAATATGATTACGTCGTTAATTTTATTCTAACGATGCGGTAATTTTCCCAGCTACAGAATGCGTTATTAAAATCTAACATCACATGGAAAATATAACATCTGTTTATTAATTATTACATTGTTATAAGAGATCCCAAGAAAATTATATTATATTTTTCTCTCGGATATTGTCCAAAATCAGCCTATTTACAATCGCATTTTCTACTCAATCCAATGACATTCCGAGCAATGCAAGATCTCTCTAAACTTTCCATCAGACTATTGCTGTCTATCCGCGATTTAATATCCCACGCGACGAGGGAAAGGCCTTCATGCTATTCTAAGGGGGAAGAGATGTGTCACCCGAGTGAACGCTTAGCCCTCTCGAGAACCGAGTTCGATGACATCGCCTTTTTCGAGGCGACTCGTTGCAAGGTTCACACGACCGTGCATTCCGTACTTTTGTCGCACTTTGTCGCGCGCGGGATACGCACTTGTCGTGTAGTAAGCACTTGTCGCCACCCTTCCTGTTTCCATCCAGGACGATGTCCTTCCGTCGTCGTCGTCCCCCTTCGTTGCCGTCGTCGGCGTCGTCCTCGTCGTCGTTTGATTCCAGTCGCTCACAAGCCCGCCGAACGGAGCTTCCTCGGGCACACGTGACACGTGCGTCCCGCATCGACCGGACACGTGCAGGGCGCAATGTCGCTGTCGAGCGCGACGAACTCACGGTACCCTAATGGTTACGGTTACAGACCACGTCGGCGCCCGTATTTTCTCTCCGTCCCGCCGCTCATCTCGAATACATCACCGCAACAGCGGTACATTAGGCAGGGGTGTGAATAATGATTGTATTCGAGGTCTAAAGTTAATACTTTCAAAAGGGTCTCCCACGATTGAAATCAATTGGACAGTTCTACATTCTACGAAATGTAAGACCCTGAACGAAACATTTATAAAACGAAATATCTGTGAGATTTAAGGTCAGAAGCTTAGAAATCTCGACCCGTTATTCTATTCCTGTTACTCTACCGTCAGTGCAATAATTCTCCGCAGCAGAACGCCGAGAGAGGCTTCGAGTCCTTCGACAACCTTCTGGGAATTCGAAAACGTCCGAGTCGACGAAAGCCCCCGAGTGCGCGAGGCAAAGGAAACAATCGACCACTTGTTGCTGAAAAGATTGTATCGAGTATTCGCAAGAGAGCCCCGTATAGGCGAGATTAAAAAACGGTATATACTTATAGGCATACCTTTTTTTCCGCGAGCAACCGTCGTCATGCTCCGTCAAGTTTCCGACGCTATATCGGCGGGGATCCGCCGCGGCCGATGAAACAGCCCGATACGTTTAAAGGCGCTCGCCGTTTCGTAACGGAAGTAATCACGCGGCCAAGAACAAGGATTGCTGGATTATAGACGTGGCGCACGAGAGAAGCTTTTCTTTTGTGTCACCAGTAGACCGCGGCGGCTCCCTCTCACGCGAGAATAAATTCGGCGGACCGTAAACCACCGCACCGCTTTCGGATCGCCTCAGTAGCGATACGCCCGTCGCTCGCAATAAAAATATTTTTTGCGCTCCCCATAAAATGCACTATAACTCCATCAGCGACTATATAGAGTTGCCTGCCTCTTTGGTTGAAATGTTTGTACGGGAAGATGTATCGTGTTAGAACTTATTTTTTAACAATTCACATATTTATTAACTGTAGATACGTGATAACAATCATATATTAATAATTTCTATTACCATTGAAAATATATAACTAATTATGGTATTTATCCAAAATATAACAGTATTAATTTTTTCGGTCAAACAAGATGGTGTCGATGAGTTATTAACAACTATAAGCATTTTTAGGCTTTTTCTTTAATCAATGGCTGTATTTTTGACCCCAAATTCGCGCGGAGCAGGGAGATGAAAATCGAACCACTGCGTTTTCAAAGCATACGCACTCTTTGAAACGATACTCTTATCGAAAGTTTTCGTCCGCGATGTAAACGGCAAGTTGGCTTTCGTCGCTTGAAGGGGGGGTTTCGTCCTAATTGAACGACCCTCGGTCGACCGACACGCTTCGCTACAAGGGTGGATTTATCTCGACGCACGTTAACGCGAGTACGAATAGGTTGTGGGAGCGCGTATAAAGCACAATCCTCGCTGCCTTTATTCTGACGATGGTGAGTGTGTATGTGTGTACACGCACACATATATATGTCGTGAATTCTCCTTTCTTTCATCGTCTCGTGGAAGTTACTTTATTAGCCAGGAGGCATCGTACAGGTTTCGACGCAACAGTTAGCGGTTCGACCTCTCCACCACTCTGAGGGGCTGCACCATTGTCGAGCGAAGTATCTTCCGGCAGTAACTAATTTTCCAGGAGAAGTTTTCGAAGGTATCGTGCGACCCTATACGAGTCCCCTGTGTGAGATTAGAGAAACGAGCAATGACAACGTGTTTGAGCTGGTACATTTCTCTAAATTGAAACATGTAAAACGTCTTATGATAATTCTCGTTAGATTTAAAATATAAACGCACGCGCGAAAATTTTGAAGTAACTCCTCCTCAATGTTTGAATAATTCCAAAGTTTTTGCGTTCTCAACTTGCAGAGGAATAAATTTTCTAAAGTTCGTCCGAGTTTCGTGTGGTGGAGCGAAAAGAATAGGTGAAAGAAAGAGCGCGGTTCAAATGCTTTTGCGATGCTCGAAGAGAGATAGGGAAGAGGAGAGGCGCGTTCGACACGAGGGAAGAAGTGTACCAATGAGTCGGATGGAAAACGACCCTTTGCTACACTCGGGGGTTAGCCGCTCTTCCCGATTTCCTTCCATCCGGCGTAGCCACTTTCCCGCTTATTCAGCAATGATTCAATTCGGATGTGCTTTTTACGCCCGCTACGGCGGCGGGCGGCGATAGAGAAGCG